CGTAACTACTTACTCGTCGTGTCGTACTATTCTACTACTATACGTAGTATATATATATTTATAGTTACTTATCGTACGTACTAGTACTACTATTATATATATATATATATATATATATGTGTGTGTGTGTGTGTGTGTGTGTGTTTGTGTGTTTGTGTGTGTGCGTGTGCGTGTGCGTGTGCGTGTGCGTGTGCGTGTGCGTGTGAGTGTGCGTGTGCGTGTGTGTGTGAGTGTGCGTGTGCGTGTGCGTGTGAGTGTGCGTGTGCGTGTGCGTGTGTCTGTGAGTGTGCGTGTGCGTGTGTGTGTACGTGTGTGTGTGTGTGTATTTATATATATACCTGCTTTTGCGTGGGGGTTTAGTTCGCTTTGTAATAGTATCCGCATCTATATGCAATGTATAAACGATTTCTATGGTCTCATGTTCCCCATGGTTTATTCCCATTTCGCCATTTTCCCACTTCGCCATTAAAAATTCCCACTTCGCCATTTCCCATTTCGCCATTTCCCGTTTCGCTATTTCCAACTGCGCCATTTTCCCATTTCGCCAGTTTCCCACTTCGCCAGTTTCCCATTTCGCCAGTTTCCCATTCCGCCATTTCGTCTTATCTCCCCGACCACCCCCTTGTTCGATGTGGGTTAAAAGTAGGCCTCTGTAATGAATAAATTATAACGAATTTTTAGATATGGAGTCAACTATTTATTTGAAAAACAAGAAGGCGAAATCGTACATATCAAAACATATGGATCATGTACAGGCACCCTAACCCTAACCCTAACCCTAACCCTAGAAATGACTCTTTTTTAAGAATGGAAGAATCAATTTCGTGCAAGGGGGTGGAAGCAATATAAAATATTGGCGAAATGGGAAACTGGCGAAGTGGGAAAATAGCAAAATTGGAAAATGGCGAAATGGAAAAATGGCGAAATGGGAAAATGGCGAAGTGGGAAAATGGCGAAATGGGAAAACTGGCGAAATGGGAAATGGCGAAGTGGGAAAATGGCGAAATGGGAAACTGGCGAAATGGGAAATGGCGAAATGGGAAATGGCGAGGTGGGAAAATGGCGAAATGGGAAGACACCGTTCCCCATATAATATATACTTCTCGTTCTATCTCTACCCACGCTAGATTATCTATACTCACGCTAGATTATCTCTACCCACGCTAGATTATCTCTACCCGTGGATACGGTTTTAACGGATTTTGAATTAATTTGTTTGTTCCTTGCGCCCTCATCTGTTATGCGTATCCAAAAGTGAACGATTTATAATAGAAATCTGCGATCATGCAATAAAAATTGCTCGTCTATTGCATCAGGGCGGCTTACGCCTGAATCTATTAAGATGTCCACGTCCAATGTGCAGCCTATTATCGCGAGCCTGCCGCAAAGAGAGCCAGCAAACGATGCGTGAGAGCGAAAAAGCAGAAGGAATTGAGAGTGCGGGGTTCGCGACGTGCGCCTGCGACCTTTGTATGGCACACGGATCGCCTGCCGAGGTAATATGGAAAGGTAAGGGTCGCGGTAATATGAAAAATATAACCGAGGTAAGGGTCGCCGAGGTAACCGAGGTAAGGGCCGAGGTAAGGGCCGAGGTAAGGGCCGAGGTAACCGAGGTAAGGGTAACCGAGGTAAGGGCCGAGGTAAGGGTCGCGGTAATATGGAAAGTATGGCGCGGGAAGATGCGAGACCGCATTCGTTTGGCCGCCATGACAGCGTCAGGTTAGCACTTCTGTCCCTCTCTCGACCTCTCCTTGCCCGTCCTCCAGCTCTTCCTACCCCCCCCCTCCGTCTTATCATTCTTTCTCCCTCTTCGCTCCCCCTCCTTTCGTCTCTCCTCCCCAGCTCTTCCCCGATCGACTTAGTATATGTTCCTAGTAGAGTGAAAACAAATGTCTAATAATGCCAAGCAATCGTTTTATCTCCTATACGAAGCATCCTTTTAGCTGCATCGCCAGGGGAGTCCACACACGCGACGTTGTCATTTTAGGAAATCGCGCTATAGGAATGGCTGAAATGGGATTTTTTATTGCAAGAAAGGCGCCCCATAATGCAGGCGTGCGTTGGCGTGGGGTGAGCGATCGGCTGCCAGCTAAAGTCGGAAGTAGGAAAGAGTGTAAGACGTAAAGGTAATGCTGACGAAAGCGCGGAGTGATGAGTTCCGTGAGCATGTGCCTGGCAGAATTAATCATGAAGCTCATACGAAAGCATGCAAGCTATATATATA